CTTATAAACTGGAGGAATCAGGAGACGAGGTCAACGGGTGGAATGTCAGACTGTATTAATCCAGGTGGTGGAAGTGTTCCTGGTGATAAGCTCTGGAGGGTGGCAGTAACTGCCCTGGAATGGAAGTAAAGGAGCCTAAGATGAGATGATGTAGGATCTGAGGGGCTGGGCTATTGGCTGGTCCATCCACATGGATGTTCGAGCCCTCCACCGCCTCCTCACCTCTTCAAGTTCCCTGCGTTGGGCACCATCCCACTTTTTGTCTCTCCCAGGGCCTCCTCAGGATCTGCATTCTTTCTTTGACCCTAAGCTTCAGGCATTAGAGGGTCAATGGCATAACTCCGGACAAGGAAATACAAGTATGGGAGTGAGAGGGGGCTGTAGTACACATTGGTTTTGTTTTTATTTTTTTGTTTTAACACCCAGCATTCGGAAGTCTTTCTGGGAAAATTATCTCAAGTGCCGTCTAGGACATTTACCCCATTTTTGAGTCCCAGTCTGTATAAGTGGAGTTGCTTTCCCTCCAGACCCCTATTGTAAAGGTGGGTATGTGTGCAGTCTTGGCTGAAAAGAGCATTTTGTGGAGGTCCATGGTGAGCTCCCAAACATCTGTAACCTGGTGCATAGTCTGGGACTCACCTCTGGTTCATGAGCTGCAGGTATTCTGGGGGAGACCTACCATGGCTCCACCAAGGCCATGAATATCAAAGGAGGCTCCTCCATCCTGAACGTGAACTTTACACACTAAGGGCAACATGTTGTGTATTTCCTTCAAGCATGGATGAAAGGAAGGCACCAAGATCACCTTCCCTAAAGAGGGGATGCCATGCCTGATGACATCCTTGCAGATATTGTTTTAGTGCTCAAAGAACAGCCCTGAGCCTTTTTGGAATAAGGCAGCAGTATGCTGTGCAGTGCTCAGATCAGCCTCAAGTAGGTGATGCCTGGATCAGATTGAGGAGGGGGTGGGGGAAGCAAGACAGGGTCACAATATGGATGATGAGGCATAAAACTTTGTTCCACCAGCAAGGTCATTCCTTCCCCTCTTCATTTTTTCTTAACTTTCCACTCACTCTAAGGCATCTTTTCCTTACTCTCAGCTTTTTTTTTACCCTAAGAGGTAGGTGGCTGCCTGGTCAACATTGCTACCACTGACAGCTGAGTGATGCTTTTGCTCTGCAACCAAATGTCATCAACTGTGCAGCCTGAAGAAATACCCAGGGGGGAACCCCTTGCCCAAGGTACATTTCCAGTGGGGAATCCTCACTGTCAAGTCTAAAGTATGTTTCCCCAACACGTTAGCATGACCTGCATGACAGATTCTTAAGCAGCATCTATGCTGTTCCTAGCCCCTCCCCCACCAGCCCAGGACCCACTGCAGCAGTAACCCCCAAACACTCCCGTTCAGGGTTCACTCACCTGTGGGGTCCTCTGGTCACTGACTTCTAAATCATGATGAAGCCACTGTTTCTTCTTTACTGTTATTTTCTGAAGTGGATACCTTTACAAACCAAAGGAAGCAACCAGAAAGAGCTGAACTACTTCCTTCCTTTCTCTAAGCATAAGCCCTGAGTTACCCAAAACCCATGCCCCCAACACAGTACACAGAAAAGACTTCATTGTTATTAGAGAATCATTTACTGGGGAGAATCAACATACTCCACAAGGAAGAAATTATTTGGGGGTGGGAAATTTTCCTTTCTGGAAATTCTGGAGAAGCATTTTCTGTTGACATAGCAGAGATGGATCTCTGAACACAGTGCGTTCAGTGGTGAGAGCAGCCAGAAGCCCCTGGCTGGCTTGACCCCTGTAGTTGGGGTTTGGACGGGGCACAGGTTCCCTACAGGACACAGAGGAGGGATACTGCTGATCTGATAGTTGGTCCCTAAAGGCCAAAACTTTCTTGGGGTGTCTGTTCTCATCTCTGATCTATCTAATACTTATAGGATAACTCTGGCCAGCAAAGACAGCTTCTTGGTGGCAGGACTTGTTGTTTGTCACTTTACAGCAAGGAGCCCTGTAGTTGGAAGGATGCCCCTGGATGGGCTCTGCCTGGGCCTGTACTTCTGCCTTCTGCTGGGTTTTCCCAAACTTCCTCAGGGAGGGAAGGGGCTCTTGAGGGCATGCGGTGTCTGTTGCATGCCGAAGCCCCAGTTCCTGCTCTGGGAGCTTCCCAGGGACTGTCATGGTCTTCTGAGCTGTGGTAGTCCCAGTAAGGGCAGCTCTCCTTTTAACTAGGCCTCTGCTCTGGACCGATGATACGGGGCTGCCCTTTTCCTGGGTATTTTCTTGCCTTTTGCATTTTATCTTGACATGAAGCCATTGCAAAATGTGCTTTATTTTTTCTCTGCAAAGGTTTTCAGGAGGAGCCTGTCCCTTCTGTGATGGGGTCTGGAAAGACTTCCTCTTAACCGTCGCCTCTAATGCCTTGTCCTGAGTAGGGGAACTCTTCCTTCTAGGTTGGGATGTCCCAACCCTGCATCCCCTCCACCAAGCTCTTCTGCTTTGGGGCCTGGAGGGCTCGTTCTCTTTGCAGTTGGTGTTAAATCCTTATCTTGGCACCTCCTCAAGACTTTCTTAGGGACACAAGGCTCCTGCTGCTGCTCCATGATGACTCCTCTGTCTTCCAAACGGACATGCAGCACCTGGGAAGCTCCCACGTTGCCAGTGGAGACATCTTAGGCACGAGTAAGTAAGGCCTTGTAAGTCAAGCTCTCTGAGGCAAGGGACCTGTCAGTGGGTTGGCTTTGGACCTGGCTCTGCTCCCTCCTCTCCAGTTTAAACTTTAACTCACCAAATACATCTGATGATTTGGGATCTTTGGGAACTGGTCTTTTTGGTGGAGGCCTTTCAGTGGTTTCTACATTACTCTCTTTCCCATTTATCTTTTGGGGGCTTCCCAGCTTGCCGGTTGTCAAAATGTCACCAGTTTTTGACTGAAGCGCATCAAGCTCCTTGGCCCTGAATATCTCCCTGGACACATTGCACACAGGAAAGGGTTCTGACCTCTCCTCCATCTTTTTGCCCTGTCGCATTTCTCTTCTATCCTTTGAGCTCACACTCTTATCCTTTGGCTCTTGGCCAGCCCCAGCTTGCCTTACAGGAAGATTTTGGGGGCGTCTCTTGCCTAGTGGAGTCTGTCTCTGACTTGCTTTGTCTGTGATGCCATGTCTGACAGGCAGAAGAGTCTGTCTGGCACCCTTGCTTCTCTGAATGTCCTCTGCAAGCTCTTGGTTTATACCAGAGGTTGATTGTCTAAAGCTCCCCTGTCGTTCCTTGCCCACAGGTGAGGTGGCAGGGCGCAGATGATCCAGGACAGGAGCTGAATTTGTTGTTCCCACTTCTTCTCCATGAGGAGAATTAGAGCTTCCTCTAAGGAGCTCGAAGCCCCTAGATTTGGAGTCCACCTCAGGAATCGGGTTGGTTGAGGAGGGAAGGTGGGAATGGGACAAGGACTGGGATGCTGCACCTTTCACGTTAAAGATCTCTATGGATTCAAGGACCCTGCAGGGAAGGCCCCACTCCATCCTCATACGAAACTTTTTAATATGGGCTTCCAGCACCTGTTGTGCACTGGAATCAATGAAGGAAAGGTCCTGGAAGGTAGTCAGGGAGGAGTCCCCACCCACTGATGGTGGCATACTTCTCTGTGTTACTTGAGTGTGGGATTTCACAGAAAGCAGCAGTGTCTGCTTGACAGCATGCCATGAACTATGCACAGTCCCAGGGAGCCGACCCTCACTGATTTCCTCAAACTTCTTGCCCAAATGTACTTTCAGGACACTTTCAAGTTGTTTCTGACCTAGACTGCCCCCTGAGGCCCTTGAATTTTTTTCTGACAGACTTGCCATGTGACTATTTAGGTTTTTCTCAGAGTCATAGCCCAGATCGTTATCTGAAGAGCTCTCTGGATCACTCAACAGATAAGCTTTTGGGCCATTCTGTGAGCTATATCCCTGATTCTTCCCCACATCCTTCTCTAGCTGAAGCATTTCTGAGCCCCTCTCATGGAAGCTTCCAGGTTGGCTCAATCCAACATTATTTTTATTCACAGAGACCCATGAGAGTCCATGGTTGCTCTCCAAATCAGCTGTGTCTGAGAAACCTCTCAGAAGCATCATTAGTGACAGAGACTCATGGATCCTGCGGGGCAGACCCCCGTGGTGTTGGATGAGCCTCTTTTGAAGAGGATGCTCTAGTTTCTTCTGAAGCTCAATGCTGAGAGGAAGCTCTCCAGGAAGGATGGAGATGGAAACATGGCCTGGGAGGCCTGGTGGTAAGGAGAGTTTGGAGCTGAAGGACAAAAGTCTTCCTGAGATCTTTGGACCACAAAGGGTGAACCCAGCAAACTTTCCTGTTGCTTCTGCAACATGTTCCACTCCAGTTGTTGAATTTCAGATGAGATGAGAGACTCTGATTCATTCTGGGGTATATGGAAACACACTCCACAGGTCTGGGTCCCAGGTAGAGGACCAGATGGTAGGATTGGGAGTGGGGATTGAAGGTGGGCCTGGGACTGGACTTGAGTGAGAGGTAGGGGCTTGGACTGGGGCAGGGTTTGAGGCAAGGCTTGAGGCTGGATCTCAGGCAAGGACAAAGGGAGAGGATGGGAGCATACTGGGGATTCTTGGTCCATGGAGAAATTAAAGATTCTATTGAATATGAAGATTGAGGAACAGTCACCTGAAACATGGGCAACAGGGGCCAAGGACTCACTGTGCAGAGATGGGAGACCCCAGAAGAGCTGGACATGTTTCTGCTGTAAGTGGTCCTCTGAGGTCTTAGGATATGGGGGCTGCTGGTTCACACGCAGCTCCTTTGCTTTCCCTTTGCTGCTCCAAAAAGGAAGGGAGACTGCTGAGTCATGCTTATCAGCAATTGACTCCAACATTTCCCCTGAAGTATTTAGTTGGTAGTCTGTCCTAAGTCATTTTGGAAAAGAACCCTTTTTCTTTTCCTTTTCCTTCAACGTTAGGAAATCACTCCTCTGTTGGACTTGTCCCTCCAGGAGTGCCAGCACTTTGGGGCTGCAAAACAAGAGGTTTCCAGGCTCTACAAGGTTGGCTGCAGGGTTTCCCTGAGAAGAGGCCTCTGAAGAATGGAGGGAAAAATACTCTTCATTGAGATCATCTAGTGCCAAGGTGGAAGGGAACAAGTCTTTGGCATGAGTTTGCCGTGAGGAGAACTCTGAAGCAGACAGACTTGAACAGTCAGTACCTCTTATTGTTGGGACACAAGTGGACAACCCACCAGGGCTATCTGGAGATGAGTTCTCCAGAACAGGCTTCAGTAAGATAGAAATTGATTTAGAATGAGTCATGGTTAAAGGGTGGTCTGGTGGTGGTGAAACAGACAGGCTTGATGATGCATCATGACAAGCTGATACATCAGTGGGATTCATTGTCTGGGACAAATTTGATAAGAGGTTGACATCTGGGGAAAGAGGAGGATCAAGAGAGAAGATGGTATGCATGGACAAAGTGGCCTCTGGTTGGAGAACAGGATCCACTGTCTGAGTGTCATGTGGTGGGAGAGGGGGAAAGGCTAGGGGTTGGTGTGGGAAATGGTCCCCTGGAAATTTTGAATCCATGGGAGGAAAAGGTTCTGGTGGCAGAGAGTGACCCATTGGTGATGGTGAAAGAAAGTCAGCTAAGGGTGTCATTGGGTTAGGTGAGACAATGGAGGGGAGTGATGGGGAAGGCTCAGGCTGAGAGGCTAGTATTAGGTCTCCTGAAGGGACTGCTCAGAAGGCAGAGGACAGAGTGAATGATGACTCAGTCACAGAAGCTGTGGAAGCCAAAGAGGACACAGAGAGGGTATCATCTTCCAGGTCCTCCAGGAACAGCAGCTGATTGACCTCCACAGTTGTGCTATTACACACCTCACAGGAGGGATCTTGACAGAGCAGTTGACGAAAGCGGATGGTATCATGATGCTGGCCTGAGGGGCTGTGGGAGACAGGAGGTACAAAGCTGCAGCCAGGACCAGAAGAAAAAAAGGAGGACCTGCTGGCCTGGTCTGGGAAGGGCCACCTGAAGCCTGCTGCCCCTTCACATTGCCCCACATCCATGGCTTCACAATACACTCAACAGCCCTCACCCCAAAGCCTTCATTCACATACCCGTTCCTATGGCAACCCCCTGGCATGACTAGGGCAGGCTGCACTGAATCCCTGGAATTGCACAGAACATGCTAAAGAGGGATCAGGAAAGAAGGGGAAAGACTAGTCACCTTTTCAGAATAGAAAGCAGCTTCCTTTTCTCCTCTCTTTCTCTCTCGTAATGTCTCCAACCTGGGAAACCAGGAGAGTGGGTTGTATATAATGAAGGTAGAAGCATAGGTGTTAGACAGGAGTCCCTTTATGGGAGACCTTTGGGACATTAGGCTCTGAAAGCCCCAAGAATCAGCAGATGAGGTCAAATGGTCAATGATATTAACAAGGTTCATAGGTGTATGTTGCTTCATTTATAAAATACTTTCACATACATTATCCCATGTGATGCTCAAAACCACCATGTGAGGAATACAGGTTAATGGTTACCTCAAAGAGGAAGCTGATAATCCGGAAAGTCAAAGTACTTTCACAAGGTCAGGAGACAGAAGCTCTGACTCTCATCATCTCACATGGACACCTATTGGGCAACACCCCTTGTCCAGGTCCATCACTGCTTCATGCCCAGAGGTGGGCAGACCAGGAATCTGAGAAGTGTCTGGGGTTCTGACTGCCTTCCCATGAGCCTCTCCTCTGAGGGCTCTGTTTTCTGACAGGGACTGTGGCTAGCAACTGACATCCTCAGAGATGATGGACCTGGGACCTCATGGAAAGGACAGGAAGGGTCACCCTTGGAGAGCTCAGGTGGAATAGGCAGAACCTTACCTCCCAATGTTCCACCTTTCCTTCTCCTCTTGGCTGTGCCCTGACGCTGAGAACAGAAAGAAAAGAATCAGGGGCTGGGACTCATTTCTCTTGCTCTCCTTTCCAGGAAACTCAGATACTCATTATCCAAGAATAATATGACTCTCTATTTTAATTAATAAAACTTTGTATTCTTTCCTTTTATTAATTTTTAAAGATGATAAAATATTTTCAATTTTTCCTTCCTTGAAAAGCTCAAAGAAAGGTTTTTGTCTATGAGGTCCACACTTGATATTCTCAGTCAGCAGTCCCCTGCTCAAGGAGGGCAAAGACTCTGAGGCCAGCAGTCACGTCTGTGCTCCCTCAGATAGACCCTGTGTCCTTGACAGGGCTTGGGCTCCAGTCTCTGCTCAGAGGCTTTCAGAGGCTCGGCCCTGCTTCCCTGATCTGCTGACATGCAGGAAGTCTTGGTCAAGTGACACCTGCCATGGGAATGTGACTCATGATCAAGTGCTGGGAACTCTCTTCTCCTGCAGAGATCCCAAACTCTCTAAGTAACCCAATCCAGGACTACAGAATCACCGAGTTTGGGATTTTATCTTGTAATCCTCCACCACACCCAAGTGGTCTGTGAGCTTTGAATGGAAACAGTCCCAGCTGAACCCCTAGGCCTGCCCAGCCTGTTCCCCTAGAAGGATGCAGTTCCATCCTCTACTCAGACTTCTCAGGTGTCTCTCAGAGCCAACTAAACTCATTTTAAAATGTGGGAATGGAAAAGGAAACAATAAAGAATCACTGTTGGGGTCTTGCCCAGGTTTCCTTACCTTTTGGAAATCTTTGGTTTTCCAGAAGGTTGGTAAAGATGGAATCCACACCAGGTAGCACAGGAACAGAAGGAGCAACCACAACCCACACAGGAAGGTGAGGTTAGGGTCAGTATCTAAGAATGCTGAGCAGACGCTCAGACACAACTCAATAGGGCTATTCAGAAATGAGAGAACATTCCAATGGCTGAACTCCATTGTCTGAATCTCGAGGCTGCCTGAAGCAACTGAGCTCTGAGAGTGCCCGTGCTTGCCTATAGTCCCAGGCCTGCATCACAGAGCACAGAAGAGTCACAAAGGGTTTCTGAGGGTGGGGGAGGGGACATGAAGAGGTGTGCCCACAGCCCCTCCCCCACCCACCAGCCCAGCACATCTGTCCACCCCTCCTGGGCCTTCTAGGTCCCTCTGCACTGCCTGTCATCCTATTTTCCCAACTCCACCTTTTCATCATATCATATGTTTGCCTTATTGAAATTTTCTGCTTTTCTTATTTGTAACCCAGATATTACCTGGGTCCCCCTTTACTGTTTGGAGAACTAGACGTGGGTCTCACCAATTCTCCTGCCTTGAAAGTGAAAGGCTGCCTGGAACTTAGGCTTGTACCCAGACGTTTACACACAGGATCACATATGGCCTCAAATCCATCTTCCCTATAGAATATTTTTGCCTTACACAAACCCAGATTTGGAACTTAGTGTTCTTCTACACTTAGTTTTGTGAATAGCAAACAGTAAATTTTAGGTTTTTGTTTCAGTTAGACTTTACCATCTTCAAGAGGCTAAGTCAAATAATTAAAATGAATAAGTCATTATTCAACATTCAGAAAACTAACAATAAATTTATAAGATAAATGTAAATAACCTTCCAATGATCTTGGGGTAGGTCTTTAGCACTTATTTTTCTGAAGTTAGTGAAGCTTAAACTGGAAAAAGACTTTCAGCACATGCTACACATACACACACACTCACACATACACACACACACACACACACATCCTTTGATAAACCAGTCCAGTATTTCCAAATCCCGGAATAAAACGTTTTCTCTTTTTACTTCAATCTTTCCTTTTTTATTTTGAGCCCACTTTTTCTTACTCTACCTAAAATACAGACAGTCCCTGCCCTCTACAGGTGTACACATCCCTTAGTCAGTGCAGGCTGCTGTGACAAAACACCACAGACTGGGAGGCTTAAACCCCAAACATTGATTTCTCACAGTTCTGGAGGCTTGGAAGTCCAAGATCAAGACACCAGCAGATTCAGTGTCTGGCCAGGCTCACTTCCTGGATCACAGACAGTTGCCTTCTCCCTGCAACCTCACGTGGTGGAAAAAGAGGGTGAGGGAGCTCTGTGAGGTCTCTTGTATGAGGACACTAATCCACTTCATGAGGGCTCCACCCTCATCACCGAACCACCTCCCAAAGGCCCCATCTCCTAATGCCATCACATTGGGATTAGGTTCCAACATGTGAACTGGGGGGACACAAACATTCAGTCCATATACTCCCCAAAGGCTGGGATAGGTTGTATTGTGCTAAGCTGTTGATCCCCTCAGCCCTCGGGTGGCAGGTGGGACCCAGGAGTGTCAAAGCCCAGGGCAGAATCTCATCTTGTGCAGCCTCATCCAAGTGCCCTTGTGGGCCCTTTAAATATGATCTCTTCCTAAGAGCACCTGCCACGAAAAAGGCTGAGAAGCTCTGCTCTATATGATCACCCCACGTATGTTCCAAAATCAACCACCTGTCACACTTTCTTCAGGCTCCTCCTGTCAGGTTTAAATAATCCCAGTACTTCCCTCCCCTCCTCCTACATCTTCTTTTCCAAACTCCTTATCTTCATGACAGCTGTCCTCTGAGGGGTCTCCTAATTTCTCACGTCTTTCTTAAGCTGTGATGCCCTTGCTCTGACACTCACAGCCCAAAACTGTCACCTGATCTCTGTGAAAGGGTGAGACAGCCTTCACTCTAGCGGAGTGTCCTTTCTTTTTTGGTTTTTGAGGAAGGTTAGCCCTGAGCTAACTACTGCCAATCCTCCTCATTTTTCTGAGGAAGACTGGCCCTGAGCTAACATTGTGCCCATCTTCCTCTACTTTACACGTGTGACGCCTACCACAGCATGGCACATCCGGGATCCGAACCGGCAAACTGTGGGCCACTGAGAAGCAGAACTTAATGGCTGTGCCACGAGTCCAGCCCCCGGAGTTTCCTCTCAATTATGCAGGAACAGGTACCCTGCCTGGAGGACAAAACCTGCCAGGAGGCGTCACTTCCTCCTCGCCTTGATAGGCAGCCTGAACCAAGTTTCATTTAATAAATATTTACTGCTGGAAACCAGGAGACACAAGTCCCTGTAAGTCATGTCTCTGTCCTTGAACCATTAGCTGCGGGTTTAGGGAAAAGCCCTGCACAGGTCAAGAGTGACACCACTGCACAGGAGAGGCCCTGGCACATCTGGGAACTGCCAAGCGATCTCAGGAAGAGATCAGAGAAGGGACAGACACTGGTGACAACTGCTCAAACACACTGGGCTCCTCAGGAGGGCATCCCTGCAGCTCTCCCCTCTCCAGTTTCTGATAGAACTCAACAAAGATGGTCAAAGAGCAGCTTGCCTCCTTTACAAGGGCACGTGTTGGCTAGATATCCTTAACATATACCGAGTGCCTTCAGTTAACACCTACCAGAAGTTTCAATAAAAAGGCTTTTCTTCAAATGCTGGTATGATTCCTTTTCTGAACAAGGAACAAGATTCTAAGGGTACAACTTCTTTTGTTTTTTTTTCTTTTTGTACCACTGGAAAGAAACCCCATTGATGTTTAATAGGAGAGGTCCACAGCACTTGCCCCTCCCACACTAATATCGACTATAAATAAGAAACTTACATGTCTAATTTATAAAGCACTTTACTTTCAGTGATCTCAGTGGATTTTCACAACCACCCTGGGATGCAAGTAGGACAGGTATTATTGTGCCCCTTTTATCAATGGGTAAAACTGAAGCTCAGAGTGGGTGAGTGACTTCCCCAGATCATTCAGCAAGTGAGTAGCAGAACCCTGACTACTAAATCCCCTACACCCTTGATGTGTCTATTTTCAACAGTATTAGTAAGTGGCTTCTTGAAATAAAAAGAATGCCCGAGTCCTAAAATTAAAGCAGTTGTGTGGCTAAGAATGTTCACTGTCTCCATTAAATGCTGGTAAATTTGGGGCCATTCCAGTAGCATAGTGGTTGGGTTCACATGCTCTGCTTTGGTGGCCCGAGGTTCTTGAGTTCAGATCCCAGGCACAGACCTATGCACTGCTCATCAAGCCACGCTGTGGCAGCGTCTCACATGCAAAAAATAGAGGAAGATTGCTGCCAAGACCGGCTAGGCAGCAAGCCAAGGGAGCGGATGGAATTAATAGACAGAACACAATCTATATATTCAATGGGACAGGGGACCATCAGCCTCAAGGACTGAGGTGAGGTCCCTCTGATCATCACGTATTTATTTGCGGGTAAAGAATCACAAGCATGTACAACAGCAGGAATTCATGCCTGCAGGGACACGCAAGCCAAAGCCCAACGGTTATATTCTTCATCCCCCTGAAGCACACCAGCCCTATCCGAGGTCATTCCCTTGGGGAGTATCTTAAGAACAATCAGCAAGGTATGCAGGCTGCGTTCCATTCCTGCAAGGGCCTGGTGTTCCTAAGCCCCTTGCCTTCATGCTCGATAACATACTCCCCTCTGGCCTGGGATTCCAAAGCACAAGCAATCTGGTATAATAATTATGAGAGTCAGCAGAACACATATCTGCCAGCCACCCATTTGGAACTTATTTTTCCTAGGCTTAAAGCCTAGCAAGGATGCTGCTATGATCCCCTGCAGCAGAAGATCACCACAGATCTTAGCTCAGGGTGTCTTCTTCACCAAAAACAAATGAAAAAGATATTTTTGTTATCCTGTCACCTCTTGGGTATATTTTCCTTTTCCCTCTCAGCACCAGTGTCTTTATAGCTTTTCTCTATGCCCTCTTAAAACCTGCTTTCAAGAACTATATTACACATGACTTTCAGTAAGGTATAAATGAATAATAACATTTAAAATGTCACCCCTCCAGGAATAAACCTCACACATTTTACATATCTCTCACCCTAAGCCCTATAACAAAGCCCTCGCCAGAACGTTTCAGGTAGCCATGCAGAGGTGGCAGAGATGGCTTTTGGTAGAGTGAGATCTTCTCCCCACAGCCCCATGACATCTTCCCAATGGACCGACGTGACCACAGAAGTCTGGTCCTGGATTTCAGACGGCACTTGCTTCTGTCTCCCAGGATTGTGTTTGCCACAAGCTCTAGTAGAATAACGTGCTGCCATTGGAGGAGACTCAATAGGGCTAAGTCATTAGTTTGGGATTCTCATACATTCTCAATTTTCTAGGGACAGTCCTCTCACATCCTGACCACTGTCCCTGGCATGAGCCACATGGAGGCAGCTGTTTTCAGGATACCAAAAAGCATGAAGATGAATAGATTCTGGGGCAAAATCCTTTAAAACTGCATTTAAAACAATAGCTGTACCATGTCCTTCATTCATTCACACAAAAAACATTCACTGAACTCTCCTATGTAGTATTTCTAGTAGAAATATCAACAAAATAAGGCAGTGCCTCTGCCCTCGGGCAGGTCACAGTTCAGTAAGTGAGATCTGTAAACAACTATGATAAAGTGATAGAAACTGTAAAAGAAGTAGGAATAAGAACACAGTGAAAACACAGGTAAAGGAGCAGTTAATTCTCCTGCTCAGATGGAGAGAAGAGAGGAGTCAGGGAAAACTTCAGAGCTGGTGCCAAGTGAGATGGCCTTTGAGGTCACTGTCCACTTATCCTCTTCCCCTTCCTCCTTCTCCTTCCCCTCTTCTTCCTTTAGACTTTACTTTTTAGAGCAGTTTTAGGTTCACAGCAAAATTAAGCAGAAAATAGAGTTCCTCTATGGCTCCCCAGACACAAACACACAACCTCTCCCACTATCAACATCCAGCACCAGAGTGGGACATTTGTTGCAACTGATGAACCTACGCTGACACATCATTACCACTGAAAATCCGTAGTTTACATTAGCGTTCACTCTTGGTGTTGTACATTCCACGGGTTTGGCAAATGTATAATGCCATGTATCTGTCATTGTAGCATCATACAGAGTAGTTTCAGTGCCCTAAAAATGCTCCGTGCTCCACCTCTTCATCCCATTCTCCCCACTAACGACTGGCAACCACTGATCTTTTTTACCATCTCCAGAGTTTTGCCTTTCCCAGAATGTCACTCACATAGTTGGAGTCAGACAGTGTGCAGCTTTTTCAGATTGGCTTCTTTCACTTAGTGATATGCATTTAAGTTTCCTCCATGTTCTTTCAAGCCCTAATAGCTCATTTCTCTTTAACAGTGAATAATAATAACTGTGGATGTACCACAGTTGCTTTATCCATTTACCTTGGACATCTTATTTGTTTCTCAGTTTTAGCAACTATAAATAAAGCTCCTATAAATTTTCTTTTTTTAAAAAAATGCTTTATTGAGACACAATGTACATACCATAAAATTCACCCATTAAAAGTGTACAATTCAATAGATTTTACTGTATGCCCAATGTTGTGCATCTATCACCATAATAAATTTTAGAACATTTTCATCCTTCTAAAAAGAAACTCTGTTCCCCTCAGCCTTCTCCCTTCAATCTTCTCATTCCCCAGCCCTAGGTTAGAACTAATCTACTTTCTCTATAGATTTGTCAATTCCAGACATTTTATCTAAATGGAATCATACAATATGTGGCCTTTTGTATCTGCCTTCTTTCACTTAGCATAATGTTTTCAACGTTTGTTCATGTTGTAGCATGTCTCAGTACTTAATTTCTTTTTATGGGAGATAATATTCCATTTGACAGATATACCACATTTTGTTTATACATTGATCAGTTGATGAACATTTGCGTTGTTGCCACGTTTTGGCTATTATGAATAAAGCTTCTGTGAACATTTGAGTACATGTTTTGGTGTGATGTATGTTCTTGTTTCTTGCTTATTCATTTTTGCAATAACTTAAAGTCGTTCTTCATCTAAGCTTCTTGCTTTCAAAGGTTTTGGTAGTATAACCATGTTAGACTCCCTATGAAATGAGATCTTTGGGGTCTAAATGCAGTTTTTATCAAATGTCTGGAGGCATCAATTTGCCCTCCTACCAACACTCTCAAAATTAGCCCTTGAATCAGCAGGAATGATCACCATGCATAATGCTTAACATTTAAAAATAATGCACACTTTATATTCTCAAGATTCTATTGTTGAGTTCTAGAAAGTCAGAAAAGGTTGTGGGAAGAGGAAGTGCAATCCAGCCAGAAGGAACGTGAGCAAACTTGTAACATATATGAAAGTACATGTCTGGTCACGCTAAAGCACAGGGTATGTGCCTGAGGATAAGAGTAGCAAAAATTTAGCCTGAAAAAGTGAAAGACTCAATTGCAAAGGACTTTGAATGACAGTTTAAGCAGCTTGAACTTGTGCTGGGGCAGTGAGAAGCTAAAGTTTTCATAACTAGAAGAATGGCATACCCAGATCTGTGTTTTGGAAAGATGACTGGCAAAAGAGAAGCTGGCTGAGAGTTCATGGGAAATATGCACATTAATCACTGTATCTCATAGGACTCTTTCTCTTGCAGATGACAGGAAACCAGATGAATTCTGGCTTAAGCAAAATTTCTAATTCATTGGCTTATATTTCTCCACAGCACAGGAATAGACTCAGCTTCTGACTCTCCATCCCTTGGTTCTGATCTCTTCACTCCTTCTCAAACCACTTTTCTTGTGGTCCCAAGATGGCATCCAGCCAAGAAAAACAAAGAATCATTGTCCCAGTGTTCCAAATTAGAGTCCCAACATTCAAGTGAATGGGACCAGCTCAGGTCATAAGAACACCCTGAAATAATTACCAGTAACCAAAGCACACTAGTGGCCTAGTCTAAGTCAGTTCTACTTAAAGTGTGGTCCATGGACCAGTACCTGTTCCCACATTTTTGTTCTCAGCTGCAACAAGATAAGTATAGAAAATAAGGATGGTTAGAAATTTGTATTGCAATTTGACAAGAGTAATTAAATCTAATAATAAAAAACATTGAGGCTTATATTTTATGTCTTTATTTTGTGTGTCATTCTTCCAGTGCTTCATTTGTATTGTATTTTTCACAAGTATCAGTCCACAGTGTGTGGGGATGTGGGAGAGAAAGCAAACTGGGCCTTCACCACAGACAGTTTGAGGAACTGTGGTCTAATGTCCATGCTCCGCTGTGAAGCCTGGGGGCAAGTCAGCATTCTGGAAGCACACAGGGAGACTTCGGGGAGATCCTTCCCTCTCGCCATGAGAGGGGGCAAAAACAAATGTCCACTAAAATCATGGAACCTAATCTGGACAGAGGAGGGGCACTCCCAGACTCACTTTAGCGCTCCTATTTTCTCATG